AACTCTAAAACCTCTAGCCCACACTGTTGCCTTAGTTTGCTTTGGCTAAACTACATTTTACAAATTTTTAATCTAATAATGTATAATATATAAATTACACACATATTTAAAGTAATCCCTGAGCAACATCTTCAAGTACATTTCAGTTGTTTTCAGTTAAGGATGTCCTCTACCAAGACACTGTATTAAATCAAATTTTCACAGTCTTTATCATCATGCGTCAGACGACACAGCTAGTGTTCTGCAGAACGACTCCATCCATGTTCCCTCTTCTGTCCCAACATAAAGACATGCACGGTTCTCAAAGCAACATTCAATCACCCATGCACTGCAAATTTGATTTAAGACTGCAATTTCATTAGCTGCACATTTTCCAAAGGACAACACGGAGCTCAGGCCCTCACACTTCATCATCATCTTTGCCACTCCTATTTTATTTGCCCTCTCTTCTCCTTTTTAGAGTTAACCAACCCTGAAAAACAAACAGGCTATATACACAAGTATTATTTTTGGTAGCAGATGCTGAGCAGGCAGACAGACAGACAGACAGACAGGAAGCCTCTGCATAAAGAGGAAAGGAGCAGGGGTGGAGGCTGTAAAGCTATGACAAAGACGTGCACTGGGAGACATGACAGGAGTGATAAGTAAAAATGAATATGCCTCAGGCAGCTGACTACTGATTACTTTCTTACTATTATGGCTTCACGTTTTCCAAGGCAGTTTGCTGTATGGTTGGCCGTAAAACAGCACAGTGAGCATATCACCAGTGTGGCTAATGCTTGCAACCTGCTTCCGTTACCGCATAAAACGCAACCCTGCATCAGATCACAGGAGCTGTGTCCAAACGACATAAAAAGTACTGATTCTGACCAGGTTTTAAATATATAGTGCATGCACATAGGTAAAGTGAGAAAATCAAGTGTACAATATTAAATCCCCTTAACTTTAGTGGTGTTAACAGACACTGTCATCTGCACAAAAGAACTCACAGCTAGAACAAATTAAAACAAATTGTGGATGGTGTTGAGACAGCTCAAAGAACATTGTTTTAAAGGACAAGGCTGGTGTTTCTTTATTTATATTATTATTTATTTTCTTAATAAATACAGTAAAAAGACTAAAATCCACAATGCATGTCTCTCAGTACTTTCTGACTTACCTTCTCTGTCTACAGTACTCAGTCCCAGGCAGTGGTGTAGTAGGTGGGTAACACTGGGGTGATGATTCCCTCCCAGCCCCCGTACACCACACGCCCGGACCGACACCCCATAAGCCACCACACGCTCACTAAAACATACAGTCGGCTACAAGCATCCACCACATAATTGAAAGGCATTCTGAAAGACTGGGTATGTATTACAACATTTTATTAATAAGCAACACAATTTATTATAAGCAAACACAAGCCATAAACTGATCACATGTTTTCTATATTAAAATCCTTAATCTAAGAAGTAACTAGTAACTAAAGCTGTTAAATCAATGTAGTGGACTAAAAAAATACAATATTTCTCTTTGAAATTGTAGTGGAGTATTTTTTGAGTATGGAAGTTATATAACTTTGAGGTGTTAGATTTTTATGCTATACTAGTATACTAGTATACTTCTAGTATAAGTAGAATGAAAGCACTGTACTAAATTACAATTTTTGAGGTTACTTGTTCACTTGAGTATTTACATTTTATGCTTACTTTATAGCATAAAATGTAAATACTCAAGTAAACAACAGGTAAATTAAAGTGTTTTTTAAATTCCCCTAGCTTGACTCTCAGTCCACAAGGTGGCAGTTTCTCATCTAAAAGAAACAAGGGAGGATATACAGTGGGATAAAAGCATTGTATTCTGTTGACTACTGCCCACCCCCACACGCACGCGCGCGCACACACACAAGGGGGAGGGGAGGGTGAATTTTAGATGAATGTAGGGGGGGGGGAAAGAGGGAGACGCATTTCCCCTGCAAAATGTATTTTATTGCAGTTATTTACCCCGGTATTTGCGAAACAAAATCGGCAACACAAAAAGTTAAGTTCTGTCACAAACTATATTTTTACGGGATCTTTCCGCATTTTTAAGTGGATATACGGAAATCCTGGAGCTTTCTTAGTGGTATACGCGGCGTATACGACGGCGTATACCTGCGTATCACGTAGACTACACCACTGGTCCCAGGCCCATTTGTAATAATGTTTCAAAACAGTTTACAAAAATATTGTTTGATTCAAACGCGGTTAAGTAATTTCCAGAAACAGCTGCGCACTGCTGCCTTTAAAAAACTACCCAGACAGGAGGAAATATTAAATTTTTTAGAGTTTAGAGAACATCAAGACAATTTTGAAGACTAGAGTAACAATAATCACTTACAAAATAATCTCAGTGCCAACACATAGATGAAAACTGTACTGTAGCTGTTTTTATTCTTGGGTATGGGGTAGCCAGTCTGGGATGGATTTTAAATTTGGTAGTTGCTACATCCATCAAAAATGTTTACAATTTGATTAAAACCTATTTCTTTGCAAAAAAAACCAAACAATAAAAACTACATAATAAGCCATTTACAATTAGAAATAGAATACTGTAAATGTAATTCTTGTTTACAATAAGAAGATGTAGTATTTATCTGATTCTTAAATTATAGTGACAAGTGAGGTATCACTGAAACATTTTGGTAATAATCTCTGGACACACAACTATCTATCTGTGCCTCATTTCCTGTCAGCAAAGTTTTTGATACACTAAGGTGCAGCAAAAGGAATTAGTATTAGTCATTCCAAAATCTTTAGTAGCAACATAATTTATATTGGACATACAGTATATGCCCTGACGGGAATCTTGATCACCATGAATCATGCATGTCTATCAATTTTGGATAACAGACTGCAGCAACCTGCCATGCAGTGCAACTTTATTATAATGTATTAACCATTTTCCCACTGTGAATATTTATGTCAGAGCTAATAATTGATTTTGTGCTCCAAAGTTTGGACGTATCATGTTTTGAAAGCATATAAGTTTAGATTGTGAGCTCAGACCCTGAACAAATACAGTGTTAACTAATCTTGTAGTAAGAGCATGTTGGTTACAGCCCCCTTGCCGATGGAGTGAATAGATTTACAGGATGTAGGATGTGAGTCATATAATGTACACAAGTTATGCACATAGAGCTGTTCAGCTGCCAGGAAGACATTTAAGGGGCAGCTGTGGCTCAGGAGGTAGGATTAGCTTCCACTAATCAGAAGGTTGGCGGTTTGATCCCTGGCTTCTCCTGCTTGTTGATGTGTCCTTGAGCAAGTTACTATAAGTAACAATATGACCAGCCTTATCCTTTGATGATAAATTAAACAAGACAAGTGATATTCTCGACCTTTTTGAGCTGTGGCTCAAGCATGCTTTAGGAGGGCAATGTTCCGCAAAAACCCACAAGCTAGTGAGTGACATGGGACAGCCGCTCTGGTCTGTATGGCACCTTTTTTACATTTTCACTCCCTTCAGTTATTGTCATTGTGCTTGTGACCTCATCACTGACATGCCAACAAATACTGCTGTCCTTAGCTGATGTTCAACAGGAGAGTAGCGGAAAGAAAAGAAACAGGGATAGGGCGGGAGAATGCTTGACTAAGCAGTAGCTGTTACCTCATTAGGGCTAGTGCTCCACAATGATGTTTAAAACATGAACTGCACACTCATTTGGTGTGTAATTTGACTGAGGTGCGACAGGGTCGAACAAGGGGGAGCAGCCAAAGTGGAAGTTAAGATTACATTAACTAACATTAACTAAGCACAATTTCTATGGCTCCATTTCTTTCTTTCTTGAGGAGATGATAGCTATCTTGCTTCCCAAGATTTTGCGTCTTTTTCTAAAAAGGCATTATTTCTATTCACTATCTCTCTTTTTTTTGCTACCTTTCAATTGCTCTATCCCTCTCTCTCTATCTCTCTCTCTGCCTCTCTCTCTCTCTCTCTTACTCACACATACACACATGCACACACATAGCATTCAGTTTTAGAGAGCACTGTAGGCAGAAATGCCCATGGTTTGGATCATGCTGAGGAAGCAGGAATTAATTCCAATCAGGCTTGAACAGGGAAGAGCCTCTCCATTTTGCACCACTCCTGGAGTCACTCAGACAAGAAGTACCCCCACCTCTACCGCATATGAACACAAACACACATCCGGTATGACACAACATTCTGAGAACACGTGCTATTGTGATAACGCTTGGTAGCCAAACATAATTTTGTTTATTACACATCAGCTGTGTCGTTGACATTAATACCATGCTAATGAAGCCCCTGACACCCTCATTCACCTGTCTTTTCCATTAAGCGGAGAATTTTAAGCAGCTATGCAAGGGGTGCCGCTAATACTGTTGCTCACAATAAAAACACGTTTGTCAGGATTAAAAGCATTGTGGTTTCAATGTCAAAAGCCTCCATGAAAATGTAGTGTACCCTCACCATTATCTACTCTTCTTAAGCACCTCTTCTCTTTCCCCCTTATTCCCCCCTTCATCATTTGCCTAATAACAGTGTGTCAGAACACAGCCACAAAGCTCATCTGGGAGTAATGCAGTTCATCTCTCCATTATTTATATGCATGCACTGTCTCCTACCTTTTCCATCTCATTCCTAACTATGGGTCATAGGTCTGACACAGTCTGTGTGGGGATCCTCCTCAAATGTCCATGTCACCATTCTTCTTCCTTCTTATCCACAATGAATTTACTGACTCCACATCTATTTTCATCTAACATCTCCTGTCTGATTTTTCCTATTTCCATCTCCACAATGGGGGAGAATTTTAGCATATTGCTCTTCTTGGCACTTTCTAGCTTCCCTTGAGCCTAGGACAAAGCATTATGTTACAGACCCGACTAATGCATCATGGAAATATCTGTAATATAACTGGTAATTCTGTACAGTATGTGCACCTTTGGGCCATCTCTTAGCTCAAAACGGCTAGATGGTCCCTGTCTTACTGCACTACATGTTTCTTGCCTTACCTATGGGCGACAGCTCTGCCACACTGCCGATATAGGGACCCTCCAAGAACTTGGGTTCACTGTCGTTGATGTCCTGGACTTTGATGACAAACTCTGATTCTGGTTCAAGAGGGTCATTGGACAGCCTATCCCGTGCCTGAGCCCGGAGCGTGTAAGAGGCCTTCTCTTCCCGGTCCAGTCTCTCTGTGGCATGGATGTCTCCTGTTAGCTCATCGATGATGAAGATGGAGCCAGCCCCTTCTCCAGAGATAGTGTACTTGATGTTGCCCTCACCTTCGTCAGAGTCTGTATGGATCTAAAAATTGATACAAATCAAACATGAGGACAGTAAATTCATAAAAGGAGCCCCCCCCCATATATTTATTTCATTTATATAATATTTTTTTTACAACAGCAAAGTAATGTAATGCCGCCTAGATTATGTTTTCTGTCAACATGAAAAGAAACATTTTTGCTTAGACAAAGAATCTGTCACAAAAAATACGTTTATTTAAGTGTGCTATTAATATACTTATTTTAAACTAAAATATTCTTTCAGTTTACTTTTTATGTACTTATCAGATATATAAAAAAAAGAAACTGCAGCAGCAACAAGGAACTTTTCTTTTGTGTTGATTCTGGCGGCCCCTGTGGACAAAAAGTGGTAGTGTTCCACTGCCTCATTTAGAACCGTATAGGAAATATCCAATCTTCTTGCTGATGGTCTAGTTTATTTATGTAGGTCATACAAAGGCATCAATATTAAGTTAAAAACTCCTTAGGTCTAAGTGTACTTTGCTTAGACTGACAGAAAAGTATATTTGGCCGTGGGTTCAAGTCCCACCTGTGGGATATATACATATATATATATATATGTATTGGTTTTGTTGCCACACCTAAACAAACATAACACTCAGGTCTGGTCTCCAGTGTCCTGATTATGATGTTCACGCACATAGCCACTGAGTTTAATGTTCTGAGGAGAGAATTTATAAATCGTTCACTTTAATATAATCCTTCCCTAATATATGACCACTTTATCTCACATGACAAACCCACACTAAATACGTTTACTATTCACATGACGACACCTGAGCCAACTCCATTCACTGATGAAGATTGTTGAAAGTTCAGAGAAACTAGTACTAGGACCTTTGAGTTGAGATTATAGTCACATTTTCTATTTAGTTTCAACCACCGTGAATACTGATGGTTTGTGTAACTGATAGTTGTCAGAAAATGACATTCGGTCATCAGCCGTGACCAAAATAAATTAGCACATTTTTTCCACCCATTTCCTTATCTTATTCCCCAATAGCAATTGCAGCTTAAGGCCTTGTCAGAGCTCCCTATAGCCCAGCCATCATCGTTGTCATAGAAAAAAAACGACACCACAGTTCTAGTGATGATTTACACCTTTTCTGCACATGGTGCCCTTCACAGGATGTGACGCCCAAACTAGGAGATCAAAGTCATTTCAAAGATTGTTAAGGTAGAGACATGGAGGTGCCGGGGCTGAAAAGTGAACTTAAAAGAGCCCTTATAAATCAGAGCTATAGTTCCCCCCTAATGTGATTAGAAGACATTCCAGAGGCAGCAATAGGAGCAGCATCGGTCCCCCATCCCAACCTCCCCTTTGGCTCTTTAGTGAGCCCTAGACACTCTCTCTCTCTCTCTCTCTCTCTCTCTCTCTCTCTTTCCCACTGTCTCTCGCTCACCTTCTATCTGGAATTATAATTCAGAGCTGTCTATGCAGTGCAACTGTGGTTCAATCTACTGAACAGACCAGGGGAGAGGGGAAATCGCCCTGGCCTCCCTGGTTAATATTTTATAAAGGCTTAATTAAATACAGGCTTCTATCACCCTCGCGGGGGTTTTCATTAAGTATTTGTCGTAAAACTGCGGAATAATGCAAGCCTGTGCCTTGATATTGCTTCCCTCATCCATTGCCCCTCCCTTTCCCTATCTGTCTGTTTTTGCCTTTTCTCACCATTCTGAATCATCCTCAAGACAAATACACGAACAGTCAGAGAAAATATACTACCAGATACCTTGGCATTATCAATATTTCAGTTATAATAAAATAAGTTTCATTGGTCCAAACTGTGAGTTATCCAATAAAAATGTGCATAGTCATGCGCCACTGGCCAGACACTCTCTTACCCTCTCCCTGTATTTCTAAATTAGATTCTGCAGACAAGACTGTGAATGTGAAATGTTGTCATCATGTGTTAATTCAATTGCACAAACGCTGGCACCATGCATGCGACCTGCCTACTGTACATGTGCAGACCCAGTCACACACACCTACCTACTGTGCGTGCTTAACACAAACACACACAAACCTACAAACACACACACACACATACATTGTGGGTTCATCATTTTGCTGGGATGATGCTATTTCTCCCCCCTCAGGCTGGATATACCCATCCGTCCGTCAGTCTATCCTCACTGGAGTGATACAAGTTGGCAGCTCGAAAAACACACATACTACACTTAGCTAAGTTGTTCTCTGCAAACTATTGGAAAGGTCAGAGCCAGGACATCACTTGCTTAGCAAAGAATAACCAGGAGTCCTAATATGCTGACAAATTTACATGAGAAGAAGAAAGAATGAATTCCCCATTACCACTGAGCGAGAATCATAGCTGCTTCATTGGCCAAATCTTGGAGCATCTTTCTCGGCAGGTTTTTAGATTACGCAGCTGTGTCCTCAGATAAATACAGTAACATGATGGTGATAAATATAGTATCCCCCCTTTTTGCTTGACCAAGGGTGATGTTTGGGCTTGGTGTATAAACACCAAAAACATATAAATACTGACCCACAAAAACATCATAAATGTTAAATTGATGCTCCCCACAAAATATACCTTTTGTTGATCAAACACTACCTGCAGGTGATAAAAGTTTCCTCATAGAACAGCAGACATAGAACAGCAGCTTCAGTCAGCTTGAGTTCAGTCACTAACAACGGATTTCAGTAGTGATTATGGTACTTTTTTCTTTCCCACAGTGAAAATGGGTCACCATTGGATAATGTTGTTATTTGATGAATCCAAACTGACCACTGCAGCTGATTTCAGTCTACGAGGAAACTACAAAACACTTCATAGCACTTCACAGCCACCTTTCAAAGCTGCAGAGAGAGAGACTTTTTGAATTAGTTTGATTAATGAATTAGCTGAACATATTTTTTAGGTGGAGTATGACTTTTCCATGCGTGCAGACTTAATGTATTTACATGTAAAATCAGGAGCACACATCTTATTACAAATACAATGGAGTATGCATTCAGAATCGGTCAGTCTGGTCTAGTCTGCAAACCCCTGATTTACCCAATTTTAAAACTGTTTTGTTAAAGAATACGCACATTTGAAGGTCCAGTGTGTATGTTCATAGGTATGCTTTCATTAGTGTATAATCACTGTAGTTGTTTTAATCTACAGATGCTGTGGATCACCTTTGAGTCTGCCATGTTTCTATGGCCACTGCGGACAAACCAAACATTGGCTGTATATAAAGCCTTTCATGTTTGTTTGTGAGTTTCGCTGCCACTGAAGTTTTTCCTACACACAACCTGTTCTCATTCCTAAGTCCTCAAATATATACGTCAGTGGTGTTCAGTTAGTTGCAATATGCAACTTCACCGCTATGTGCAACTAAATTCTACACACTGGTCCTTTAAACCAACCATAGAAATTGTTTAAGTTAAAGGAATAAGTTAGATTTGATTAAGTTTAGTACAAATAATTAACACAGTAATTCTATGCCCGTCATTTGCACGTTAAAAGAGTTGTTGGTTGCAGGAATGACCTTCAGTATCCACCTTAACTTGGCTGCTGACTGCTGAAGAGTAACAGTACAGCTGAACTTTGGAGAGTAGTTTTGCACAGAACAATACGTATTTCTACCTGTAAAGAGATTACTTCACTGTCAGTATGGAAAAAACTATTATAACAACTAGTAACTATGTCAACATATGACATTGGAATATAGTAGAAACATATTGTAGATAAAATTGATCTGAACTTATCATTTAAAAAAAATAAAACAACAAAAAAGAACTTGACTACTACTATTTGGCCCCATAGTAGTTATGATTCATTGTCAGGCTTTAAGTTAAACTTTATGCAAGTAGTAGTTAGCAATGCCTTGGGGTTTACAGTGGAGGGCTGTGGGGTGACTCAGGGGAGAGTGAGGTTGTTGATGCCCTGTCAGGTTCACCTTTGGGTCATAACAAAGTGTCTAGCTGTCACTGTGGGCTATCCTGCTGAAGGGGATGACATATGACTCACATGCGGTGATGGAAAGTTTCCTTATTACAGTACGTGGTAGTCAGCTCTTTTGTGCATTTAGATTTACTAAAACACAAACTCAGACTAAATAGAGTGGTTGGTGATAATTTGGCGTCGGAAAGACATTTTTAGAAACGTAAAACATCTGGATGTGCAAATCCCACATGTTCGTGTGAAGTTTAATTTTAAAATGTTTCCAGGCTTCTAAGCACAAGTAAACACACTATGTAATAACCAGCATCACATGACAGAAGAAAAAAATAGAATAGAATAGCAAGGCATTTGGGGAGCATGATTTTACATTTCCAGTGGAGATAGCAGGACGTGGGCTACACTGAATCTCTGGTTTATTGAGGATTTCAAAGCGGGAGCAAATTGGCTGTCTTATATTTAAGTCTGTGTAATCAGGAGTAGGCCTGCCACATTTCACTGCAGCTTGTCAAGCTCTCTGATCTTAACAGCTTCAAAGTGTTAACAAGGTGACTGTATCAGAGACAGCCTAGGTGGAGACAGCTATGGGGAAGGAATGGCACGGACCATGGTAGACAGAGCCAGAGAAGAGAGTAAATGGCAGCATAGCAGAGGGGAAAAAGAAAGAGAAGAAAGTCAGAGGGATAAAAGAAATCAAAATGAAGGGGTGATAGTGCTGGGATGGGGTGGGATGGGAGTAAGACCGAAGACAGAAGCTTAGACAGAAGATAGGGGATGGAAATACAGAAGAGAGAAAACAGCAACATGACATTATAATAACATTATTTAAAAATAATTTCAAAAGATAACCATGCAGAGTAAATAAAAAGCTTTCTCGCTCCTTAAAAAGCCATGTCTAACAACACTCAAGTCTATGTTTTTTCTTCATTCCTCCAATCTTAAGCTTCTTTTGTTCCTCTTTGATGACAGCCTTGTGATGTTGTTACAATTGGGCCCATTTGACTAATTATAGCTTGGATCATTACGACGAGGAGAATTGCTTTAACAGGCATAGCATGTGCATTTTTCTGTTGTCTGATTGACT